ATATGAATACATGTATATGGTGGTCAGGGTAAGAGCTCTATACCCTCCCCCCTCCCCAAACCTCTGATCCTATATATATGCACCTGCCTAGAGATCATATAGTGGAAATAAAGTGGTATATACGAGGATGTTGTGTTTATACTGATATATGATACAGTTTACTGATCAATTTTCATACAATACAATATAATAAATTTTATTTCATGTCGGGTATAAATTGAAAAGAACTATTCACCGCCTGGGTAATGACAAACATTTCTATAAATAATTAATGCAATATTTACACATGAAATCTAGTAAGATCATAAATGGAAAATCTTTCTACTAAAATATATACAAATACATGTCCACATGAAATCTACTAAGATAGAAAATGGAAAACATTAATAGTCTGCAGCCAGCAGATGTGCTGAAAATTCTAAATAACACCTTAAATGAAAATATTTCCCACACCATGCTTTTTTTATGAAAAAAAAAAATTAAAAGAAATAATATAATTTAAATCAATGAATTGTATCCAAAGGATATAAGGGTACTAATTAACAATGCAGTCATCTTCAGCAAGAAGAAGACAGTTGAAGTCTGCACATCCAGGATAAAAGCTCTGTAGACATATATGGGGACATCCTCATATTCAGAGGGTTTATTGTTCAGAGTGTCTATATTCTGAAGACTGTATACTGGTTAAGGATCCAATTGAGTTAAATAATCGACTGCTGTTCTGAGGGTCCACTTTTCCAAAGGGTATGTAGAGGGTCCGCAATTCTACATAACGCTATTCTGAGAGTCATATTTTCTGAAAAAGTTTATTGATGCAAAAGCTGCGCTTAATTTTAGCTGCGTAATCATGTACTGTTTTTTGTATTTCCATCGTTTGCCCGTCATTTTGCAACATGTGCATGAGTATATTGGGTATACATAGAACAAATTCCTAATAGCAGTATATACAGCGTATGTTTTATTGACGATGCTGCTTTGTAATCTATAATAAATTATAAAATTGGATTTCTTAGTTTTCACATGCGTACAGATCATTATTACAAGCAGTTCATGACTAAGAAGTGTTTTCACTGCTGTCACTTTGATCTGGGTGAATGCTGTGGTATTCAGATGGTTCAGTATTACAAGCAAACATATCTTTGAATGCCTTTCTGTAAGTCCTGCAACTGATGCAGTACAAGAAGAAGTTAGACGCATGGTTTAAGGAAAATAATAACATGAAAATTGAATACATCAGTGAATTGATAGCTTGTTGATGAGCAGAATATTTCTCAAGGTTGTAGATGTCGTAGATTCCACTTTGTATAGCGTTGAATCCAGCAGTGAGTAGTCAGAAAGCAGTAGTCACACATAAAACCATCCTGGTGATTTCCTTCATGTTGGTGTTCAAGTCCTCAGTAGTGGAACCTAGCAATGGGATGGGTATGGTGGTTTGAGGGCTGTCTGTGGTCTGAGAGAGCCTTTGCCTTGTCTCCCACCAAAGCCAGCCATTAAGTAGTGGTAATGTAAGGTAAGGTATAATACAGTACAGGGAGAAAGATACCCACTTATGTACTGAGTAAAACTGGGCAGAACTGTTGCTGTGTGCCTTTAACTTCTCTATACTGTTATGGTTTATACTCCAGCATGTTTGAGTGCCATTCTGGTCCTTATAGTAGATATCTGAAGGACCTGGTATGAAAATTGGTAAATTGATAGCCAGCTAGTAGAAGTATTCCTGTTGTACAAATGGCCAGCCTGGTACGGGGCACTGTAAACCAGTGACTGTGCACAGCACTGGACCTCACTTTGAGCACTCTCTCAATGCTGAGGATGACCAGTAGGAGTGCACTGAACTCTGGAGCAAAGTAAAATCATGAAGACAGCATAGCGGCACAGGAAAACACTGTGTGTGAGGAGTGGCGTGTCCAGATCATAGTGAATCCAGTAAAAGAAGCCATTGATGTTGACCAAGATGTCTGCCATAGCCACAGTTTTGAGGAGCTCTGGGTTCTGTGGAAGATTCTTTGTGAAAACACCAGCAGGGCCAGAATGTTAAAGATGATTCCTAGGGAGAAGATGGTGGGTCGACCTACCAGGGTCAGCTGGTGGGAAGTTTGGTTTAAACCAGCCAGGCCTTCATCTTCCTCTGGATTTCTTAGATATGGCTCTGATTCATGAGGAATAAAGTGTGAAATACTGGCCATCTCTGGTGTTTCCCTCTCAGTCCATCTGCTGTACTGAGCTATGGCTTCATTGTCAGTAATTGTGCACTGTTCTATATCAGCTTATGCTCACACTATTAAGGACTGGTGATTAGCAGTCGTGATATCATAGCTTTGGAACAAAAGTGTGTCAAAAACACACTTGGCAGATTTTATATCTTACTTCTTACATTATCTGCAAATTGTATAGCTTTTTTGCTCACCAACTCAAAGTCTATATATATCCATACAGACATTCTACTGCTTTTTTTCACACAGGCACAGGTACAGGTATGGATACACTAGCAGTATCATACAGCAACTGTTCTTATACCTGCTAAATTATGTTCAATTATTGTGATTCCAGGACCAGGATTGCAACTAAAAATGTGCGTGCTGGCATGAATTGGTTTGATCTGTGGAGGCATGACTTCAAGGTAGGTGGTAGACATGATGAGTGGTAGTGTGACCTGAAGGTGGGTGAGAGACATGATCTGATGGTGGGTGAGAGACGTGACCTCAAGGTGGGTGAGAGACATGACCTGAAGGTGGGTGAAAGACGTGACCTCAAGGTGGGTGAGAGACGTGACCTCAAGGTGGGTGAGAGACATGACCTGAAGGTGGGTGGGAGACGTGACCTGAAGGTGGGTGAAAGACGTGACCTGAAGGTGGGTGAGAGACGTGACCTCAAGGTGGGTGAGAGACATGACCTGAAGGTGGGTGAGAGACATGACCTCAAGGTGGGTGAGGGATGTTGCCTTAAGGTGGGTGAGAGACTTGGCCCCAAGGTATGTAGGATATGTGACCTCAAGGTGGGTGAGAGACATGACCTGAAGGTGGGTGAGAGATGCTACCTCAAGGTATGTAGGATATGTGACCTCAAGGTGGGTGAAAGACATGACCTCAAGGTGGGTGAGGGATGTGGATTTAAGGTGGGTGAGAGACGCTACCTCAAGGTATGTAGGATATGTGACCTCAAGGTGGGTGAGAAACATGACCTCAAGGTAGGTGGGAGACATTGATACCATGACTTGAATTCCACCTGTTCAAGTATTACCTTCTTATTTACATTTGTTAAACATGGATAGGAAGCAGCCTTTGTCCTCCCACATGTAGACAGATATTTGAATGTGTGACGTCTAGCAGAGAAATCCTATATCCCACCTGTAGACAGCTATTTGTGTGATCTCTAACAGAAAAAATCCTATTTCTCAGGTGTGGTGGCACAGACATGGACGAAAGAAGCAGGACTTTCCATTGTTCAATAAACAGATTATGACCATAGAAGGTAATTATAAGGAATGCATTAACTTTCGATAAACACTAGTTATCATGATAAGACTAAAGTATAAGGCTGGTAAACCCACCCTCTTCTTATGTTAGACCCCTCCCACACTTTGACCCTCTTCTCTGTGAACCCCTCTCCTCTGCGAAGCATCTCACCCCTCTGTGAAGCTATGCCTTCTGTGAGCCCCACTCCCCTATGTCAGCCCAACTCTCCTATGTAACCCACTCCCCTGTGTGACCCACTCCACTGTGTGACCCACTNGCCCAACGTATGCTTGCTATCTGGGTCTGCTGTACTGAGCTATGGCTTCAGTCAGTAATTGTGCACTGTTCTATGTCATCTTATGCACATACTATTAAGGACCTGGTGATTAGCAGTCGTGATATCATAGCTTTGGAACAAAAGTGTGTCAAAAACACACTTGGCACATTTTATATCTTCCTTAATTCTTACATTATCTGCAAATTGTATAGCTTTTTTGCTCACCAACTCAAAGAATATATATATCCATACAGACATATTCTACTGCTTTTTTTCACACAGGCACAGGTATGCATACACTAGCAGTATCATACAGCAACTATTCTTATACCTGCTAAATTATGTTCTAGCTGTTATTGTGATTCCAGGACCAGGATTGCCACTAAGAATGTGCGTGCTGGCATGAATTGGTTTGATCTGTGGAGGCATGACTTCAAGGTAGGTGGGAGACATGATGAGTGGTAGTGTGACCTGAAGGTGGGTGAGAGACATGACCTGAAAGTGGGTGAGACACATGACCTGAAGGTGGGTGAGAGACATGACCTGAAGGTGGGTGAGAGACGTGACCTCAAGGTGGGTGAGAGACGTGACTTCAAGGTGGGTGGGAGACATTGATACCATGACTTGAATTCTACCTGTTCAAGTATTACCTTCTTCTTTACATTTGTTAAACATTGATAGGAAGCAGCCTTTGTCCTCCCACATGTAGACAGATATTCGAATGTGTGAGGTCTAGCAGAGAAATCCTATATCCCACCTGTAGACAGCTATTTGTGTGATCTCTAACAGAAAAAATCCTATTTCTCAGGTGTGGTGGCACAGACAAGGACGAAAGAAGCAGGACTTTCCATTGTTCAATAAACAGATTATGACCATAGAAGGTAATTATAAGGAATGCATTAACTTTCGATAAACACTAGTTATCATGATTAGACTAAAGTATAAGGCTGGTAAACCCTCCCTCTTCTTATGTTAGACCCCTCCCACACTTTGACCCTCTTCTCTGTGAACCCCTCTCCTCTGCGAAGCATCTCACCCCTCTGTGAAGCTATTCCTTCTGTTAGCCCCACTCCACTGTGTGACCCACTCCACTGTGCGAGTCCATCTCTCCTGTGTGACCCACTCCCCTGTGTGACCCACTCCCCTGTGTGACCCACTCCCCTGTGTGACCCACTCCACTGTGTGACCCACTCCACTGTGTGACCCACTCCACTGTGTGACACACTCCCCTGCCCAACTCCACTGTGCGAGTCCATCTCTCCTGTGTGACCCACTCCCCTGTGTGAGCCCCACTCCCAAATGTGAACCCCTTCTTTCTGTGAACCCATTCTGCTGTGTGAGCCCCATTCGCCTGTGTGAGCTCTTTCTCATGGACCATGTCAAGGAAGGTTATCAGTAGAAAGTGTCCTTAATGAAAACAGCCAGAAATAAATTTCATATTAAATGTCTAAAGTATTTGAAGTGTCTAAAGTATTTCAATTGAAGTGATTGGTTTAAATATGAAGTATTGTTTCCAAACTGAACAGAACTGTTTTTATCAACATCTCATTTCAAACAATTCTCTTAGTGTAACTGTCTTTTTGAAGGTCACTTTGGGTCAGGTTTGGTGTCTTTCTTTGTGTTCACTCGCTGGCTATGCCTCCTCAACCTTCTCCTGACTCTGTTCTGGCTCAGTTTGGTAGTGCTGCCCTCTGTAGTACACTTCAACTACTGCAACATCACACAGCCTTTCTACATCAGGAATTTACTGGATGGAGAGGTAAGTACATTTAATGTTTTATTGTTACATCCAACACAAAGTGGTTTGCTAGGATTGAGTGAGTCCTGGGTGTTGTTTTNATTTTTAAAAATAATATTTAAAATTATAACTTTTCAAAAGCTAAAAAATGCAATATTTTGGCAAAATTGCGGATAAAAGACCTTCCCCCATATCTCTAAAACTAATGATCCAAAATAAGAAAGCCAGTGGCTCACAATATCTTTCATGTTGATGGTTTACCACACCAAAAATTATTAAAATCTGCTGACCCCCACCTTGCCGCCTTCTGACCGATCTGTTTGGCTTTCTCATGGACGCGCTCTTAATATCAAGAGGAATGTATTAACGGTCGTAGCAATAACCTCAACCACCCTGCAAATAAAACGGGTTGTGCTATCAACGTTACTTTTTTAACAAGAGGCCTCAAATAGTTATATCATTAACTAATTTCAGATAATAATTTTAGTTTTGCGCTAGCTGAACCTGAACATCAGACTAGTTAATAAACGTGCACACCATTCCATTTATATGTGCTCTCTGCCCTGTGATATTACATGTATTGTTAGAATGTAAAGAGCCTGTCTGTTTAGTTCAACTTTGTAAACATTATTTTATCTTTCCAGGAGCTCAACGAGATTCTGCACAGCATCCGCCTGAAGTCTAGCCTTTGTTTCACACACAGGAACCCACGCTCCTTCGTACATCTATTATGTGAAAATTCAATAAAGATAACTTTTGTAATTTGGCGTTTTATTTTTCACTTTGTTATGAAATTATTGTAACAGTAATCATAATGGAAAATGAAATTATTGTAGTAGTAATCATAATGGAAAATGAGTTTTTTAGTGTTTGAGGACTTTCAAATTCAATTTGATCTGTAAATAATGTCAATGTTTTTGTGGTTGACGGTTTTCTGTGGTACCTAAATTTGAAATAATTGCAAAATGACCAGTATTTTTTAAATAACCCCTCCAAGCTGAAATAAAATATCTAAAATGCTTTCCAACAACCTACATTTTATAGTTCAAATTTATATAAATTTACAATCCTGGTTTTTAAAAAATTCACATAAGATTTAGCATATGGAGCTAATTTGTTTGGATATAATTTTCCTATATATTCTTATATAGGGATGGTCCCATTTTGACGGGCTTGTCTTTTGCTATCGTGAATTGTTTTAATTTGGCGGCCTATTCTTAGTATAAATACTAAATTTGATATTTGATCGTAATAATGAAAAGGTAGGATGATTCTGATGTAAGCTTAAATCAAGTTAGTTTTTTGTAAATGGATACGACTGAAATTGGCCAAAAAATTGATTTCTGAGGGTATAACAGAACAATTTCTTCAGAGTCTGTTCTCTGAACCAAATTGGGATAATTACGAGACCCCACCTATCACCCCTTCTAATGCAGTGGACTCGCCCCACCTGTCACCTCTTTAATACAATGAACCTGCCCCACCTGTCGCCCCTCTTTTGCAATGGACTCGTCCCACCTGTCGCCCCTCTTTTGCAATGGACTTGTCCCACCTTTTACCCCTTCTAATGCAGTGGACTCGCCCCACCTGTCGCCCCTCTTTTGCAATGGACTCGTCCCACCTGTCACCCCTTCTAATGCAGTGGACTCGCCCCACCTGTCACCCCCCTTAATGCAATGTACTCGCCCTACCTGCCACCCCTTTAATGCAATGGACTCGCCCCACCAGTCGCCCCTTCAATGCAATGGACTCGCCCCACCTTTCACCCCTTTAATGCAATGGAATCGCTCCATATAACAAAACTCTATTTGGAATGGAGTCGCCCCACCTGACATCCCTCAGATTGAGTGGATTTTCACCACTAAACAAAAATCCCTGTCATTGAATGGACTCCCACAACTTGTCTATCAGTTGACCATGGCGCACCATCCAACCTTACTTGCTTCAGTCCGGTCATCACTGCTAAACCTTTTCACTACTCCTGTGTTGGCTGACCTTGTAAGCAATTTATTAAAATAAATTTTCTAAAATGAAGACAAAACAATCCAGTAATTTATCACAAACGCCAATCAACTATCACCTTTTTAATAATTTTGATAAACCTTATAACATAATTGATGTCTATTTTTCAAGCTTTTTTAAGCTTTCCGACTGCCTCAGGGTTTTAAAATCCTCATTGAACCCCAACCCCTTCGCATCCGCCCCCCCCCCCCTCAATTAATCCTGGACCTGCCCTTGATGACTGCATGAACCTGTTGTTACATTCCAGCTTTAATTGTGGTTTTACGAGACAAAACAATAAATTTGAATTTTTGTGTTTCCTTATTCTGATCACGTCCTTAGGAGGCTGCACCAGCAACGTACCGACCTTCGAGGAAGACCAACAAACCGATTTTCCCTATGTGACCTCAAGATCATATTGGAGAAATGACACAGCACCCGCGCGTAATTGCAAACGTGCTCGCCGAAGCCCGTTGCTAGTGCCTAAAAACTCACGGAAAAGCGTACGCCCGTCGCAAATGTAATCTGGGCTTCAGTAATTTTAAAGAGGAAAAACTAAGTTCTGATCAGAATAGCGACATTCGAAGGCCCACTACTGACGTTGATCGAACAAAAAAAGTATAAATATGAAATGGTACTGATCAGTTGCCAACACATCACTGGTTTTTACAAGCAGACAATATTGCTATTTGTCTGTTAATATTCTCTTCATTGTGTCTAGTTCTTGTCCGTGCCGTCGCCTTCGGAAAGCTGAGTCCCTATTACTGCCAAACGATATCTAACTACGCTAAGGAGGTGATTTTTAGTCCATTTGTTTTTTGGTTTTGCCTACTACAGTTACTGTTACTTATACTAAGTTACAACGTACTATTACATATTATTAATATGTACATGTGAATACCCTTTTAGAGTAGCATTATGGGAAAAGTTGTAAGCGGATTTTGATAAAATTTCCCGAAACTGTAAGGAGTGTGCTTTGTTTGTACTGTAAATGTGATTCACAAGTACCCTTAGCACTATCTGTTCAAATTTGCAGTTTTTCACAATTATTATCTTTAACATTTTCGAAATGACAACAGCTCATGCACTTTTATACTGACTGTCTTAGAGGCACACTCCATGGGTTTGAAAATCCCCCAAATGCTTATTTTGCCATCCATAGCTTCTTATGATACCTCAAAAAACGATTTAAGCACTTAAATATTTTTTTATGGAGCTTACTTGATGTTGATATTTGCGTAGGAGCATATACACTGTACGTGTAAGAAGATGGTCGCTGGTTATAATATTTGGACAGTCATTGTAAACTAAATCAACCTTTATAAATTTAATTAAGTGTCGAATCCAAGTGATCCAAGTGAAATGATAGCATATACACACACTGGACAATAGAAGTGTCACCCCTACTAAACCAATTCTTTGGGGGAGATAAATGACTGTGGAATGACATGCTCCTGGTATCATTTTATTAACATCAAATTTCACAAAAGAAACGGTTCTGACTGAACAATTCAACTGTATCGATATTCTGACATTGCTTATATTCCGCCTCTTCAGGTTAATTACTTTGATTGCTCTGATTTAGGGGGTGACACTTCTATTGTCCAGTGTGTGTAGTACGACAAAATTGCTTATTTCCCCGGGAAAATCCATTTTAGCGGGAAAATCCCATGGAGTTGCCCTTTAAACAATGATGATTCTGGTTACGTTAATAAAAATTAACATCTACCATTAACTCCCGTAAATTTTTTTATTCAAAAAGTATACATAATTTAGCAAAAGAAACGCAGGTTTTGTTATGTCTCTGGTTTTAATATACTTTTTCATACAATAGTGTTGCCTAAAGGGTAGACTATTGCTCAGTAACGTGTGCGCCCTACCCAGGGGCAGATCCAGGATTATTTGAAGGGGGCCCGGTTTTTAGGAATGACAGGCCGCGGATGCGAAGCCTACCCTTGCCCCCTCCCCCCCCCCAAAAAAAAAAAATGGGGGGTATTTTAGAGGGTGAAGGTGCCATTTGGTACGGTTTAGAACTACGACTCAGCTAGTCAAAATTCTCACTTTAAGAGGGGACCATTGGTGTGATTCTTTTTTCAGAAATCAAAAGGGGGTCAGGACACCCCTCCCTTAAATCCGCCATTGCTCTCCTGGCAGCAATCCAGCGAGGGTAGTGCCCTCCTTCTCATAAACTGCACGAGACCTTTTATGTTGACCTGAGTCGTCCTCCTCCATTCTTCCACCAATGAATAAAAGGTACCTATTTCAGTAATTCGCGAGCAGATCGACATGGAAAGAAATATTTCTGTACACCACGGTTGTGAATATGTATTTTCATAGAAGATGGGATGATTTTCAAGTCGGTGTCATAATTCTTGAAGTAAAAGATTCGCGTATGTATTTTTCATTCCGCCATCACGAAATCGGTAAATAAATTATAGGAGACTATAAGACGAAAAATATACTGGGAATTACAAGAGAGAGATCTAAGAAAGACCATGAGTAAAATCAATTGCCTCGATTGTTTGTAAAATACACTGTACTGATATAACAGATTTTTTTCTTTTCTTCAATTCAAATCGTTTTCGCTTTTGATTCTATTTAGTGTCAACGTCTGCTTAAACACCTGTACTTTATAGGGACCAAATAAAAAGTTCACTTGGATTCTGCAAATCAAAGTTATTTCAAGCTGTGTGAAACCTCCACTCTATCCCCGTTTTAAAATGTGAAACCAATGACTACAATTTGCTACATACACCTTAACTACATAAAGGAATTCCTGGGTAATATCAAGAGACAGTTACACTGCAGAAATTAAGCTAAAATGATTTGAAAAAATATCTATTAATCTATTAAGGAATTATGCAGTTAAATGATTTTTCTAGATAAACAATAACGAAAAATGATGATATACGGATAATGAAGTTTTTATCTTTGTTCATTTTTTCTTTCCTTTTTTTAGCACAGACATTAAAAAGCCTGAATTTTAATCTTAAAAAAATCGAACACTGCGCGCAGTTTGA